GGGGGGGGGGGGAGCTTGTGCCTGCTCAGAATTCTAGCCAGATACTCAGCTAAATGCTGCTGTGATGAAACGCCATACCATGTTCAAAACCACATCAAGGATTATTTCTGAAACAGTATGGAGCTCAAATGCTTTTTCTCTTGCGGGTTTACCAAAAGGTGGGTGAGTACTTTTTTATATCCTGCTTTTTTACACATACTCTCTGCAGTAAAGGGTAGCTCTGAGTGTTAGCGATGCTTGCTAATGTAAACAAAGACCATATTACGTCCAAAACACGTTGTGCATTATTTCTAATAGTGATGTTTCTGAAAGGGCCTTGGGTGTAAAGCCAGCCCACATTTCCGATATTACGTCATATCGGCAGCAAATCTGGATCAGCTCCGTTGTACCCCCATTTTTAGAGATTTGAGTACGGAGGAAAAGCGTGTAAAAAAGTGCATTTTGCATGATAGGAGACCTTTAACAACGCATGCAAATCAATCTATGTATCTCCTCAAAAATACATCTGCTTATTCATATATATTACATCTATGATTTGAAGTAGGTCTTAAAGACTGGCATTGTGTTGTTACCTTCTTTTGCAGGGCACAGTGGAAGATGAAGATGAACATGCCCTGAAAGGCGTTGAAGGTGGTAAAGAGGTAAGCCATAATAACTGTGTTTTCATTGATGAAGAGGAGGCCGAAAGCCCACGTCATCCCCAGAAGGAACAGCAGAGCAATGGCCCCCAGAGCCCATGACCTGATGGCAGTGGAAAAGAAAATGTAAAAAAAACAGAACCAATTTAGAAATGTATCCAGCAGTGTGGTTTACCAATCATAAGCTTATGCTTTCAGAAAAAAACAACATTTATTTCCAGGAGTATGAGTCCCATTTAAAGATTTTGAACCCACCTAATGTTATCCAGGCGGCTGGAGTCAGGTTTGAGTGCTGAAGAGTTGCGTACCATCTTGTGTAAAGTGATCATGAGGAAAATGAGGTTGAGCTAGGGACAGAAGATAGGAGGATAAATAAAACGTGTTGTGAATTTTACAGTCTGTACCAAAATACTGGCTTTGCACTGTGAATAACCTCATCAAGTGTGGTGAAATATTTTTGGTTCCTCTGGGTTAAATCAAAATGATGAGGGGAATAATACTGTCTGACAGTAATGCTAATACCATAATAACAAATGAAACAGGTCCAATGAAGCTCCAGATGAAGTAGTTATCCACTCGCAGCCAGCATCTGGAGTGGCACAAAGGAGAAGAGGGAGTTACACACAACCAAGCTTACACACACACACACACACACACACACACACACACACACACACACACACACACACACACACACACACACACACACACACACACACACACACACACACACACACAATATTTCCCTGTCTCAGCGGATTATCTTATGAAGGCTAATCATCAGGCTTTGGCTAAGTGTGTTCAGAAAAGCCAGTCCGCAGGGAGGTGCAAGAGCTGTTCACACAGCACTGCATATTACATTTCCAGCTGGGGGAATAGCATAATCCTCCTTCTCAATCTGCAGGTGCAAAAGATCTGTCTTCACACGTACGCTTTCTTGGTCCCATAGCTCCTGTAGTCTATGGCCGCAGAGATGCCCACCACTAGTGCGGGGAAGCAGTAGCCGCACAGATAGTAGTACTTTTTGCGGGAGTATTCGCTTTCAAAGACTTCCACCAGCATGAGATAGAGTTGCACACCCTCCAGACACATCCAGGAGAAGGCAGCCAAGAAGAAGAAATGCAGAAGGCCAGCAAAGATGGGACAGGCAATCTGAGGATAGTAGCAAGGGAGGGAGAAGAAGAAGAAAAAGATGTGGAAACATTCAAATGAAGGAGAAGAAATAGTTAAGATCCAGACATGTAACTGACTGAAAAACAGGAGAGGACAGTCCAGAGTATTAGGAAGTGGACATTTGTAGAGGAAAAATTATAAGCAGCCCCCTGAGTGATTGTCTCTGTGAGTGGTAATTCATTACTTACAGATTACTCAGTGCAGGGTATGTTTCATAGAGTAACGTAATGAGAAACTATTTCAATTGTACTTTTACAGTCACTATTAATATAATAATACTTTTTGTTGTTGTTGTACTCTTTACCACTGTCATTTTCCACCGGATCTTCTGATTCACTTTTATAAAGGGAGATGTAATGCAATTCTTTTTTTCAAAGTCAGCATGTGTCGGACTGAATTGTGGCTATTAACTCACCTGGTATTCTGTCTTGTCGATGCCGATGAGGAAGAGCAGCTCTGCGATGAAGAGGTTGATGCAGAGGTTCTTGTGGATGGTGTTGCGGTCGGTCTGCAGGCCTCGCAGGAAGCAGAAGGTGGAGATGCAGATGGCTAGACACACTAGGGAGATGACAATCCCAACCCAGGTGATCACAAACAGGATCAGTTCATGCATTCGCCCCTGGTACTGAGGTCCGGGTGGTGGCACAGAAACAAAAATGGCGGGTTGGGAGTGTGGAGGGGGACAGGATGAAAACAGAAGGCAGAAGGACACAGACACACAACAGAATCAGACAAATAAAAAGGGGGGAAATATTGGACAAGACAGGGGTATGGGGGAGATGAGGAGTCCGGAGATAGATGAGAACAATAGGGCGATAGATATACAAAACAAGGGGGAGGGGAGAAAAGAGCAAAATTGTTTTGTTTATTATTTGTAAATATATGCAAGGAGCTAAAGTGTAGAGACAAGAGACAAGACGTCCTGAAAAAAAATAGATGACATTCAAATTCATGTGAATGTCAGCTCCAAGTAGCAGGACATGAATTTGTAAGCATGTGCCTCCCAGAATGTCGGAGTGAAAGGAGTAAAAGAGAAAATTCAAAACAAAGAGCTTGTCAGCCTTGAGTGGGTACATTAATGTGCATGTGTGTGTGTGTGAGGGTGTGTGACAGAGAGAGTGAGCGCTAATGCTCGCACGAACGAACGTCTGCATAAATTAAACAGCTTCAGTTTTAAACGCGAGTCTGCCACGCCCTGGTTTACTCACATCGGGCTCGTGATGAGCCATAAGCACGGCGAAGTTGGTGAGGTGGCTGCAGGAGCAGGTGGTGTGTGTGCTGTTGGTGTCCAGCAGCTTGCAGCCCTGCGACGACCACTGGCCCGTCATGGAGCGCTCAGAGTAGTTCCAGAAGGAGCAATTTGGAGAGTAATAATTGTCCAACTGCGGAGAAACAACAAAGAGAGGAATGACAGATAATGTTGATGGGAAGTTGTTAGAAAAATATCTCTCGTCGTCACCGGCTTGAGTTTCAATAATCAGGATACATGTTTTTATTATCCTTGCAAGAATGGAAGCAGTCATCACACACACATACAGAGCATATGGTACAACTAGTTCCTGAACAGTGTCCTTCACATGCTGATATACAAGAGAGAGAGTTACACAGTCACAAGATGGAGGAATACCGGTTCAAAGCAGTATACAAAGTTTAGTTTAGATTAGCTAAGACCCACGTCAGAAATGATCATGCTTGTCATATGTCTATCTCCATAGAGGCTGATAATGTTAATCGTTGTCACATAGCTATCATATGCCTAAAACAGTGTGTCCTGACGCTCTTTTAGGTAATCATACCTCCGGTTACGTACACAGCTACGTAGGGCCTTTGGTATCATGTGCTAAGAGTACATTCAGTATTTTCCCAACAGAAGTCTCCGTGTCAGAATGTGTAATAAGCATGATAGCGCCTAAATGAGGTCACCTGTAGGTGTTTGAGCGTGAAGACAACGGGCTCAATGAGAAACACTCGGCTGGACTCTTTGTTGATGGAGGCAGCGATCACATGGGAGTTGACTGCCAGGCGCTTCTTATCGTGGCTCAGCCCATCCACCTCCATCTTCACTGTGGCGTTCTCCGTGGACAGGAAGGATCCCACGTTTTTATATAAGATGAACACCACCTTGACTTGTCCTGCGCATGAAGAGGAGAACAACATTGTGAGATGAAGAAGTAGAGAACAAGAGCAAAAAGAAAGAAAGCAACAAAAATAAAAAGGCAGATGGAGCGATAAAGGGGGGAGGAGGAGGATGGTTGGAAAAAAAGGAAATACAGAAATGGGAGCATAATATGGTTTAGGCAGCGCGAGTGGCAGAGATAGAGGGTGGGGAGTGACAGGGTGAGCGAGAGGGAGACAGAGAGAGAGAGTTAGTGAAGGTTAGAATGATGGTAAGGACCGTTTCATTTTGACTGGTGGAAGAGAGCGAGATTTAATGTGGAGGGCAATGGAACATTCATCCCTCAAGCATTCACAGATCTCTTATTATTCCATATGAATATTTCATGTGCGTTTGTTTCAATCATTCTAATCTCGTTCCCGATGCAGAGCCGAGCGGAGACAGAAAACAGAAAAAGGGAATGGGATGAGCGGCCATGAAGGGAGGAGGGGAGCGATGGAGAGGGGGATGACAGAGAGGGGGGGTAGAAACAAGAGAGATGAGAGAGGGGGATAAGATGGCAAAGAAACGGTGCGAGGGAATGGAATGGGGGAGAGAGGGAGTGCTGAGATTGCTCTGTCAGACTGGGGCCGATTGTAATCTACACGCCTCCCCAGCTATTCTATTAAGACTGCTGTTAAGAAACCATCAAGAAAAGAAATTGTCTCAGCACTTTTGTTAATCTGATTAGCCTATTATTATGAACCAATAACTTAGTCAACTGCATGCAGATTGTTTTAAGCGTGAGTGGAAATGCAAACGGAGACATAAGAGCGGGGCTGCACAGGACAGTAACATTCTTCAGGCCTCGGGGTGAGGATGGGGTGAGGAAGGGGGGCTGCTGACCGTTACGACTGTACTGTTTGATGGTGGAGGCTGAGAGCTGGATGGTGCTGTCGCTGGCGTAGTTCTGTGGGAAGGATAAGTCCTGCTGGTCCATCTCTGTGTTTAAAACATGCACCTCCAGATCTGAAACACACAGCCGCACCAAATATATGAAATAAATAACAACATTAGTCCAAATACGGTGGTTTATCAATAGATACAGCAAGTCATAATAATTACGTTATTGACTTACATTAACGCAATACAGGTAATGCACAAAATAATGACCTTGATTATTTTTTTGACATTTGTTCTAACATTTGATCTGATATTGATTGTTGCATATATGCATGTTTGTTTGTATCAGAATGACATCAACATTTTAGTCTACATAATGCTAGAATAAATAGCAGGATTTCCCTAGTACACAACAAATGTAATCTATTGTTTTGGTTGTGTGGTTTTTAATACATGTTTTAGAGAACTTGCACAATCCAATTGCAATATCTGAATATTCATTATTAAAATACATAGAAGTGTATTGCTCGTTTAAATTATGCTCTTATATTATCATTTTTAACAGTGGCATAAAATGGTCTTAAAATCGCATAATATGATTTTTTCGCATTTATTTCAGGGACAATTAATCGTCCAACGACATTAATAACCGTGACACACCCTACCATTCATCAATCATAATTAACACCATCAATACTGTTGTCTTACCAATGCTGGGCGCTCGATCAGAAAAGCGTAACCCGTACATGTTGTTGGCCAATAGGAAAGCTCCTTTCTCCAGGACGTCCAGTAGCATGGTGGCCGTGTGCGCCTGCTCTGTGGTGTTCATGTCCTGCCACGACTCCAGGGCTTCGGGACGCAGCAGGTTGTCCACCGTCTGCACCACCGCCTGGAAAACAAAGCATTCATTACTATAACGGAGAAAACTTCACAACAAGATGCACAAAACACTGAGTCGTTAAGTAACGAGTAACAAACAAATCAAGAACTAATAATGGATGAATAACTCACAGGAAGTCACAGCTTTAATGTAAATATATGAGTAAAAATAAATGCTTATGATATATTATTTGAGTATTTAGAGTATTATTTCTCGACTCTAGATGTACCAGCTCATTCCTTCTTTGTTATTAGAAGCCAAAGACACAAAAATATGATAGCCGTAAGTTAACCATTGAGTACTGCACATGAGGGGACACACAATCACATGTTTCTAATGTTTGGGAAGTAAATATGTAGATTGTTCATCTTCAGTATAGCAACTATTATTTATGTATTAGCTATTAAGTAATGATAAGTAAGTTCTTAATTTCTTTACAACCTGTTCGTTGGTAATTCATCTTGTTCCAACATATTACTTGACCACTTTAAACCAATAAGATTCAACTATAATTTCTTAGAAACTCACCCCTCTCCTGCACTGCCTTTATTACTGAGCTATGTCAGACTTATTACCTTTCTATTTCACACTTACAATTCATTTAATGGCAATTTTGATGGTTGTATCAGCTATCCAATTTATTGGAGTAGCCTGCTTGATGAATCATGTAATTCTCTTGCTCAGGCCTCTCAAAATGAAGGATTGACTGCTGTGTGGAATAAAGAGCGTCGCCGTTACCAGAATGAATTTAACATCACAATGCACTCTATGCGCTACTAAGAGAAAAAAAGACTAAGGATGTCTTTGTTGGATCATCTTAACAGTCCTGCGGTAACTTGCAACTAGTCACAAAATATAGTGGTCGGTTACATGCGACACAGCAGCCTTTAAATTCATCTTGCACCAGCAGAGATCAGAAGATGTGGCGTCATATTACAGTATGCTGCAGACAGGTCGAGATACACAAAAGACTGTGTGCTGCAGAGTGCCGCATTTCATCATTACAGAGAAGCGTACACAAGGCCTTTTTATGATATTAGATTACATCTTTCTCAGAAGCAGAGATATTGCACAAATATTGGAAAAGAACAGAAGGGTGTGTAGTACGACAAACTGTTGCCTTTCATACAGTACTATCGTCAAATTAAATTTTCTCAGAGCCGCAGATATAGTATCTTATTGTGCAGCACAATGAGGGCAAGGCCAATATTACACACTTAGGCTCAATCACAGTCCAACACAACTAAGATTACGTCAAGCACGATGACTTCCACATTTGCTAAACCCATATTTCAAACGCGTACACACCATGAGAAATTTAAAAATTACAAATGAGTTTTCCCTGCTGTGGGAAATACAACGTCTGCCAGGAGATATACCAAAAATCGCACTGCTCTTCAAAAAAGACCCAGAAATTCTATAAGTGATTATTCCGAAGGCCAAATAAATCATTTTACAGAGCATTGAGCCAAAGAATCTCATCCACACTCCTAGTCTGCTCAAGGATTTATCTTCCTTCAGTTATTCTAAGTCACAGAGCAGTCCTACTCCACAGGCATGTAAAGCAGGCAGATAAAAGAGAAAAGCTACCTGGATATAGGCCCGACAGGTCCGCTCTCGCTTCTGGAGCTGGAAGGGAGAAAACAAAGCATGGCGTTAAGCAGCCAAACAAAAAAGCTTCAAATTAAAAACTCATTCAACCTTGCATGTGCACTAAGGGGGTAAAATCGCATTAACCTTAGCATCCTTTTCTTATGCTTGAATCAAATATATACTTGGGCATGTGTGTGTGCTTGTGTGTGTGCATGTGTGTGTGCTTGTGTGTGTGCATGTGTGTGTGCTTGTGTGTGTGCATGTGTGTGTGCTTGTGCGTGTGTTTATGCTTCTTTCTACCTTGTTGTAGTTCCGTGCAGCTGACTCCTTGTTTCCGGGCCTCAGGGCCTGGAGCTGGGCATCCAGGATGTCCAGTAGTTGCTCGATCAGCCGCACGGATGAGCTGACATCGCCCGCCTGGATCCGGCTGCGCGTGTGGTTCACCAGCTCTCCTGCTATGTTGGCAGCATTCTCCCCGCTCTTTATCTGCACGTGAACACACGCACACACAATTAAGTGAAAGTATCAGGATGATAAAACAGATCTGCTCTAATTAGTTGGATCCTATTTTAAGTTTTTAGAAAACAGAAACCTCATGTTTTGAATTAGTCTCAATAGTAACAAAAACTCTTAAGGATCTTAATAATCAGCCCTTCTCACATCGTGGTCAACAAAGACGGACTTTGTAGAGCAGATTTTCTCCCTAGTGCTGTTTCACTTGCAAATCACACCCCTTAGCAACCACTTTGCAATTGCAATTGATTTTTGCCAAAAGGAGAAGGTGTAATAGATTTTTCCAATGATGTAACTATTCACTGGGATGCTGCTTTCCCTCCCAGGCACACACTTAAAAACCTTTAAGAAAGCCAATCAGGGGCCTCTGCATATAATAGCTCAGTTTGTAGAGATGGTGGAGGCTGAGTCCATGCTGCGCCGAACACATGTTTGAATCCGGCCTGCGATACCTTTACACTTGTAAGCCCATCTATCCTTCTTTTTCAAATCCATCACTCACATTTAGTATTGTATCTGGGTTTAGCAGGTTACTTATAATTCAAATTGATATGGACTGAAATCTGATTACTACCCAAATCAGGGTTGATCCGATCACTACAGTGTATAAAATAACACAGTTTAGCGATTGAAATAGCAGTGAGCTTAGTGAAAATCATCGTGCCTCATCTAAAGACCATGATGTTTAGCTACCGGAAAGGCATAATGCCTTATATGAAACTGAGGTGGAGAAATTGAACTGGCGGAGTACTTTGCAAGCTGAGAGGCACTAATCCTGATTTTTTTTAAAGGATTCAACCTAGCTGTGATTAAAGTATATTACTGAAAATAATTTACTGAGTTAATTAAGTATCAAGAGCAGATGCCTTGTAATGAAGGGCCAGTTGAAATGAGTCTGTATTTTAATCAGGTCAGCCTTGGAGATATGTTAATGTGTGTGGAGGTGGACAGGGAGGAGGGTCGGGGCAGCGGGGCAGAGGAAGGGGACGGTCCAGCGGCCAGGGGGTACGGCTCCAGGTCTCACCTTCTGGGCCACCTGGTTGACCCACGGGGAGGTGCAGTTACTCAGGTCAGGACCCCGCGGGTTCCACATGACCTGCTCCGCCAAGCACTGGAACGAAGCGATGCCTGGAGACGAGCAAAAGGAAGAGGAAACAGAGGAGGGGGGAGTAGTGGAGAGATAATAAGCATTAGGTGTCTGCAATTAAAGGGGGACAGTGTGCAGGAGAGGGATGAGCACTAAAAATGTTCTCAACCCAAGAAAAACGGAATAAAATGAATTTTAAAAATGTAATACGCAAAGTGTTTGAAGATGAGTGGGAAGACGGAGGGAGGAGGTAGAGTAGAAATGTGTCAGAAGTGGAAAAGGTTCAATAATGGAGGAACGGGCAGTGAGAAAGTGAGGCAAGAGAAAGTAAGGAAGAAGACGGCAGGGATGGAACAGGCTTTCATACTCTGAATGAACCATTTAAAAAGGAATACATTCAGACGTACCACATACAATTTACCTTGTGCTCACAGGCTAAAGACTTCAGGTTAGATTAGTCATTTTTAAAATAAAAGGAACTCTCATTTCTAGCTAGGTTTTGGGTTCAGAGGAAGGACACCATGCAGGGATATAACCAGAGAGTGGTCTATATACTGCTGCTAACACAAATAACCAACATCATGTCAAAGAGACGAGGAAATGAGAAGAGAGACGAGAGATAGAGAGAGAGGGACAGCAGAGGGAAGCGAAAAACAGAGATGACAGAAACACTGCAGTAGCGCTTCACAGTTGTAGAAGGATCAGAGCAGATGTGGCGTGGCATTTTATAACCGCTTCTTCTCGCTCTCCCACCCATTGTTTTCCCGTCTCTCCCTCTTTTCTCTATACTCTCCTCCAATGACCGCAGATTGGGTTTGATAGCTCTGCCAAGACGCGGCAATTAAGCTAGCTGCTAATTTAATATTTCTGCCGCTCACAGAGAGAACATACAGAAATCCTGAAAGGCGTAAGAGAATGGAGGAAGACCTTTTCTGTGACAAAAGTGCGCTACATGTTTGGAGGTATAGAAACTAGCATGAAGGGAGGTAAAGCCTGTGTTGTCTAGCCTTTCATTTCATTATTCGCTACTTTCAATCAGCTCTGTTTCCGTGGGAGATGAGCCTTTCATATGTGGAGGACGTGCTTTCATCTGTGAGTCCACAGGGAATGTGCCTGCTGGAGGGATCAACGCGGGGACAGAAGAAGACAACAGTGGAAAAAAACAAGCGCGAGAGCACAAACATGCTCATCACTTGGCTACATGCTGAAAGATACATTGCATGCACAAACACCCACATGCATGGAGGACACCCCCGCTTCAACATGAAACGCCCCTGTTTGTTTCATGAAGTGGAAAAAATGCAAACACGTTCAAATATAAACACATGGACCGGTCCTCACCGAGAGACCCTTTGGGGCATGGGCGGTCTACAGTTTCTCCTCTCTGGGTGGTGGGCCACTGGACGCCTCGCACCAGCTTGGACTCGCAGATATTTGGCTCCAGGTCTTGAGGAGGGAGGGGGGGCCGGCGGGTGACAGGCACAGTGGCTGTGATTGGTCGAAGATCAGGGTGCTTGTTGATTGAGCCGATTGGGCGCGAGGTGGGGGCCAGAGGGCGAGCCGTAGAGGGGCTGGCACTTGCAGAGGAAGGCCTGGCTGGAAGAGTGGTGGCCACTAGGGTAGTGGTCAGAGGGCCTGAGGAAACACAAGAGTAAAAGAGAGGGAACAGAAGAGTAAGAGGTCACCAATGAGACCCAGAGTGAGTGAGAAACATTTAGAGAGTTATAAAGGATGTAAGGGATTTGTGAGAGAGCAGCAAAGGCGGCGGCACAAGCCAGAAACAGAGATCAAGAGAGTGAAGTACATAAGCGTGTGAATTAAATATGTCTCTCCGAAGTTGAGTTCAAAAGTTTGCATGACAATAATTGGGGTGACAAATACTTTTTGGAGCCCCTCAAAGCGTGCTCTCCTAAGAGATGAGAGAAGCGATTGAAGAGATGGAGAGAACGCATCGACACAAGTCAGGAAGAAGTAAATAATTGATCAAATGTATCAGAGAAGTCAGCATCTCTAACAACCAAACCTAATGCCAAGATAAAAGAATCACATCACAACTACAAAATCCTAGCTGATCAAACGCAGAGGCAGCGTGCAAGCTGGGAGTGCCGCGCCCCTGTGTCTCTGCCTCTTCTCTCTCTCGGCCTAATTCGAGCTTTATACCGGCCTTTATGCGGCTCAGATATACAATACATCCAAACTTCCCTTTTAAATTGATGGACTGCCAAAAGCCAGTGTGGGGTTCTCATTTCATCCTCCCCCTTATCATTTCAGAATGACGTTTTCATTATCCATGACACAGAGAAGTTGATAAGAAGTGCTTTAGCAGTCATACCTGAGAGGCTGCTCTTTACTGTAACTATGGCTGGGATGGAAATACAATGATTTGAAATCTAAAGCTCCTAAATGTCAGACAATAAGTAGTCACAAACCCTTTCTGCGTGGGCTGTTTAAAGTGTGCCTTGATCAGGAAAAACAAAATGTGCCAAACACTGCAAATGGTTCTTGGATATGAATATGAAATAAGCATAAATGGAAACTATAGTCATTGCAAGTAAAGAAATCTGTAAACCATATTAATTTATCCTGGAAGAGAAGATGGTGAGGTCTGTAGAGTCTATTCTATAACACATAGGTTTGAGCAAGCTCTCTGATTGGTCAATAGGCGTGTTTGATTCCACGATCAAACAACGATCAAATAGAACGTGCCTAATCACAAAGTATCCAGTGGCCTACACACGCCACTAGCCTACCGAAACTACTTCCATGAGCCTACATCGTGTGGTTTCCATAGTGACGTTTAGCGACACACAGCCGTTACACTGTTATACATTGTCTCTCGTTGGAAATCGGCAGCTACAAAATGTCAGATTTTAAAGTTAATTTTGATTTGTTGGGGGGCCTCAGTATTGATGAATGGTTGGACATGGACACAGACCACAAAACCAACGAAAGATTTGCGGCTGTTTCAACTGACGAGTTGAGTGCGTTGGAAAAAAGGCTATCGTTACCATGGGAACTACTTTCTAGGAACTACTTTCTGACGGAGATTAACTCAAGCAGAAAGCGTAGGTTTGGGAGCAAATTAGCCCACATTATGAAATTATTTTACGATATTGTTGATTACAATGATAGTTTGTGTAATAGAATCGCAATCATACACTTGAGGCCGTTCTTGAACGTCATTATTGGTACGACAGTACTGCGGCAGCGCCGAGGTCCGTACGCCTGTACTGGAGTATGATTGCTTAAGTAAGCACTCTCAGTTTCATCGCCAAATTACTTTTAGTTTGTACTTTTTTCAGTGTAATCAGTAACACTAGTANTAACTGACCTTATGTCTACAAGACAGACGTGACAAATTTATATCTTAACGGGAAGTAAACGCAAACACCAAATACACTGTCATACAAAAAGGTTAAGTTCTGTCTACTTTTCGGGAAGTATCTACAATTAACAGACTGTATCTCAAGTGTACAGTATCGTTACTTGACGCAGTACGCTGCTCCGAGGAAGTAATACGGACGATTTCCGACACAAAATTAAAAGTACGCACGTAACTGTGACACTGGACGGAGAATGTACTTTCTCGATCTCTCTCTCGTCTGATCCTTCCCCTCCCTGTGTTAGGCGAAAATGATCGCAATATAGGGACTGCAGTCGGGGATGTTATCGACGCCGCTGGAGGAATGCGAGGATTTATCCGGGAGAAATGACCACCTTTCGTCAAACAATCACGTCGAATGTACGGCTCAATAAATTATCGAATTTGAATTGGTATTAACAAATCCAGTAACGTATATCACTACTAACCGACATGTTAGCCAGTCTTAGTTCTACATAAAAATACCACAAATTACATTAGTTTTCAGACGTAAGAAAATTACATCAAAGAATCTCTATGGTCCCCCATGTCAAAATTGGTATGACTTAGTCTATTTGTCGACACAACAAAGCTTTACCCATTCTAATAAATAAAATTAGGACACTAATATAAAAGTGACAACCGACCGTGTTTTTATATAGTTGTCGTATTATAATTTTTAAAAGGGTAAAGTTTGTTGCGTCGACCAATAGACCTAGAGTCATACGCAATTTGGACATTGGACCCGACCATGAGAGATCTGTCATGTTAATTTCTTACGTCTGAAAACTAATTGTAAATTTGTAATTTTTTATGTAGAACTAATACGCACTGAACATGTGGTTATGTAGTGGGATGCATAGTCCATTTGTAAAAACAAGTCAAATTCAAAATTTATACAGACGTACATTGACGTTGATGTTGCACACAGGTGTCATTCGTCACGCGCATATCCGCCCATTCCTCCGCCCGTTCGGATAACATCGACTTGCAGTCGCATAATCCTATATTCCCTAAAACAAGGGAAGGCAAGATACAGAGAGAGAGAGATCGAGAGTACCATCTACGGTCCAGGTCACCTCACGTTACGTGTACTTTTAATTTGGTGCGGTCAAATTCCGGATTTCTTCTGGAGCACGCAGCTACTAGGTCAAATAACGGAGTATGTAGTACACTGAGACAAGTTGTTAATAGTAGTACTTTACGGAAGTAAGACACAACTAACGCACCTCTTTGCTAATGACAAGTCGTATTCGGTGTTGGTTTACTTTCGTTTACAGAATATAAAATTGTCACCTCTGGTTTGTATGACTAAAGGTCAGTCGAATTGACGCTTTGTCAGACAAAAGAGAGTCACTAATTTTATAACCATAAGATATTTTGTAATACCAAAACTCGTTCGAGAGGACACTAACCAGGTAAAAAACCGTCACAAACGTAAGGTGCTAGTTTGTTGCTAGTTTATCGTTGCAACGAATAGTGTTGTTCCCTTCGGATGATGTGCCTGTGATCGGATGGCTTTGATGAAAGGTACTCGCGGATTGTAGCACACCGAAAAGGTATCGCTGCAAATCGCCGTGTGTGTCCGGCAATGTGAAATATGGTAAACAGAGAGCGAAAACCTTTAGCCATCGAAATGTTTTACGAGTCTAAAATTCAATTAGAAAACTTAAACAACCCCCGGAGTCATAACTTACTATACCAACCTGTACCTGTGTCTGGTGGTTTAGTTGCCTTCCCCTAAACGCCAACAGAAAGTTGACTGGCTCCAACTCACGCAACGCTTTTCCAGTGGTACCCTTGATGAAAAGACTCCTTCCGATGAAAGACTGTCTCTAAATTGGAGTTCGTCTTTCCGCCATCCAGAACCCTCGTTTAATCCGGTGTCAATACTTTAATAAAATGCGTATAACAACTTAATGTTACTATCAAACGACATTATCTTAGCCGGTTTTTAGTATGTGAACTCCGGCAAGAACTTGCAGTAATAAACCATGGACGGCGATCATGACAGCATGGTCTATACTGCAAGGGTGGTTCTTGCCGACGGAGGCACATACTAACAAGATTAAATTTAATACAGAAAACTATTTTATCAAAATATTACTCGTTTATACTAAAAATGAATGTCCGTCCCCGCCTTAATCTTTTTATAAGTACCCCACCCGTACCTCCCACCTCCGCTTTAAACTCCCCCCACCGGTAAGGGACACCGTCTTCATATACGAACTAAATTTAGCGTCAAGTAGTAGTTAGGTACAATTGAGCCTTTTCAGGTGTATTGACTATAAAATTGAGTTTATCGATACACTGTAATAACACACACCGGTGTTAGTACATTTCGGAATTTATATTTATAATATTCCACCGTCTGTATTAAATTACTTAAAAAAATTCGACTTTACTCAACCAAAGTAGAATCTGGTCTCTCTCCCCAATCTCAACAGCTAAGAACAAAGAAAAAACACAAAAGAGAAGATGGTGAGGTCTGTAGAGTCTATTCTATAACACATAGGTTTGAGCAAGCTCTCTGATTGGTCAATAGGCGTGTTTGATTCCACGATCAAACAACGATCAAATAGAACGTGCCTAATCACAAAGTATCCAGTGGCCTACACACGCCACTAGCCTACCGAAACTACTTCCATGAGCCTACATCGTGTGGTTTCCATAGTGACGTTTAGCGACACACAGCCGTTACACTGTTATACATTGTCTTTCGTTGGAAATTGGTAGCTACAAAATGTCAGATTTTAAAGTTAATTTTGATTTGTTGGGGGGCCTCAGTATTGATGAATGGTTGGACATGGACACAGACCACAAAACCAACGAAAGATTTGCGGCTGTTTCAACTGACGAGTTGAGTGCGTTGGAAAAAGGTCGCAACGAAAAGAGTACATTGGTGTCAACTACCTGGGCTGTCAAATGTCTCAAAGCGTTCTTAAAAACCCAGGAGAAAATGGTGGATTTCGGAACAGTGTCCAAACCGTTACCATGGGAACTACTTTCTAGGAACTACTTTCTGACGGAGATTAACTCAAGCAGAAAGCGTAGGTTTGGGAGCAAATTAGCCCACATTATGAAATTATTTTATGATATTGTTGATTACAATGATAGTTTGTGTAATAGAATCGCAATCATACACTTGAGAGCGTTCTTGAACGTCATTATTGGTACTCCAGTACTGCGGCAGGACCGAGGCGCTTGTGCCGAGGCCTTGTGTATGATTGCTTAATTCAGATAATACTTTTTAAATTTGTATTATACTGACCAAAAGCAAGTATTCATTAAAAAAATGTACGATAACTTATATTTACCATAATACCTTATTACCAATTTATACATCTCAAGTATAATCCTGGCAAAAAAAATCGGTATACATTTTTGTGATTCGTTTTTAGTTTTTTCACCAATTAACAAATGCAAAACAAATCACAAAATCGTAAGATACTTTTTCCCACGCTGTGTTTCTGTATATCTTTGAGTGGGATGGCTCCTGACCTGTGGTGGGATCTGGGGGTCCAAACTCAAGGGAGTAGCGCAGCACGTTATAGTTGTTCCACACATAGAGCTGGTTGTCCCGAGGGTTGTAGTCCACAGAGGAAATATACTGATAGGGGTTGGGGAAAGGCATGTTGACGGATTCCTCGCGCCCGTGGTTTGTGTTGTAGGCGTACATGATCAGGTCGCCGCCCGCCTCGCTGTCATCGTCCTGGTAGACGGACCGCACTGCGTACAGCACACCGCACGCCATGAAGGCATTGGATGCCATCCTCTTGTCAAAGGTGGTCTCCCAGGTGCCTTCAAAGCGCAGGGTGTAAGGATTCACCTAAAGGCAAGGAGGAAATAATGTTGAACTGGGGAAAGGCCTATAAATGATCATTCTCAGAAGCTTGAAGTGCCAGTTTGGTTTTTGAGGGATTTTATTTGATTCCTTCTTAGATTTACAGTTATAAGTTGATAAAGTTCAAATGTCCTCACGACTAAAAAAGCAGGTCTACTTTATTTGAGTTCTGATATCCTATTGTTATTTCTCTGTGTGCAGTTGTATCTATCATTAAACTTTGAACATTATTTGATGTAATATTTTTCATATTACCCATGTTTACATGAGCCCGCAGCGGCACAAATGGTACTTCTGTGCAATAATGTAAAGATTTATAAGAAGTTCAAAAAATATTGAAAAAGTAATTAAACTCTCAGCTCTGGAGAAGAGATATTTCGTTGCTTTTATGCAAAGCTGCTTCTGCTCATTATAGCTCCAAACTGTATATAATAGAAACCTTGGTGTGTGTTGCACTCTAAAATAATAAAACTCCCCAGAACCCAAACAGTTCCTTGATGATGAAAGCGATCACTTTTTTATTTATTACTTTGTTACTCCATTATTCTACACCCTCATTGCTCATGCAGGGTTTGATATTTTAGATGGATAGTTTAACTCATACAGTTAGAAAAACAATTTCCTGGTTAGGTCAAGATAGTGATAATAAATGGGACCCGTCTCTCCGAACAGCACATTATTCAAACTCTTGTTTGTTTGGAAACTTGCTGCCTGATTGCAGTTTTGTTCGTTAAGAAACAAAGAAGCAACTTTTAAAATCGTGCTTTAAGTTTTTCAAGGAAGTATGAGTAATGTGATGTGTACAGTATGCACAATATATGATTCTAAACAATTCATATACTAAAAAGACATATACATCAAATGTTAGAATCAGGCTGACACTGGTTGTGAACCTAAAAAACAACTGGAATATTTAGTTTACGAGTGAAGAGGGGATTTTGGATAGGACAGGATTTAAAAAATAGGTTTTGTTTTTGGTTTTTTTCGTTTTGCAAAATTTTCTTATGAGACTCTTTTTTGGCAAACATCTAATTTTTCAGAACAAGTGTGTAATCTCTATAGTAACTCAATCATTTGTGACATATGACCTTTTCCCTGACTAGTATCATGTGATTTTGATATAATCTGTTTCTGCATTTATAATCCTCATCTCATCCCCTGCTGTGCACCGCTGCTCTCCTACCTGGCTGACCACCAGTCGTCCGTTGTTGGACTCGGTGGCGTAGATCACCCACAGGCCGCTCTCATCCACAGCCAAGTCGATGTCCGATTTCCCTCCCCAGCGGTAAGGAGAGGTGTCATGGTAGTTAGCGTTTGTGATAATGGCCTCGCCGCTCTTGATGCGTGTCCTTAGGTCATACTTGACAATGTTTCGTGTGCGTTCTTTGTTGTAAAATACCGCACCATCGTACACAACAAACCCTGTGCCGTCAACTCTGTTGGGCAACCTGTAGAGAAAGAATCACATGGTATTCAGGAGAACAAGTCAATCCATCTACTCTGCATGACACAATCCTACAAGATGGCCTGACTGTGAGCCACCTGACGCCACAGTGGGATCATTCTGCTATCATGATCTATATACACACACACACGAAAAGCCAATAAATCAATATGGCAACAGATGCTATTTGATCATCCAGGACAGTGGGAGGTGCCCTCACTTGTAGGTGGTGGTGGCTCGGTTCTGTTTGAAGTCTTCCCAGGAGGCATACTCAAACAGCATGTCGGTGCGATAGGGAGTCCAGGGCATGATGTACAGACGGTCTCCAGACTGCAGCGGGTCCTTACACCACGCGCCTGCCTGATGCTCTGCCTCCTGCAGAGAGCTGGCCGCCTGAATCCGCAGAAGTGTCCCCGGACACACAAAGACTGGAGCAGAAGAGGTGTGTTGGAGCAGAAGAGGGGGAAAAAGGAAGAGATTGAAAATGAAAACAAAGCATTGTAAAAATGAAAGATATCATGGAAATGGCAGGGGAGGGAGAGAGGAAATGGGAAAAGGCCAAAGACCATGGAATATAGATTAGGAGAGAGACATGTAGGAGACGGAGGAAAGATGTGAGTAGATACAAGTAAGTTGAGAATTGAAAAGGAGACAAAGAGTAGGAGGAGAATGGGAGAGAGGGGTATTGTGGGTAGTGAGGTGAGGTACAATATCAGATTTAAAATGAAGGAAAATATAAAAGCTCATTTGTAGAACATCAGCATTGTGGCCGGAAAGCGTCTGGATATGATAAATGGGAGATTTCTGGCTGCTGCCGCGGCTTAGATGTAGTCTCTAATCTAATTTATCTTGGCCTACTTTTTATTTGATTGTGCATTTTATATTTCAAAGGCTTCTGCTTCTCTGCTCCGCCACTGGGTGGTAAAACAGTAATTGTACAGCTTGTTTTATTAGGACTCAAATTTGGCTCTCAGTCAAGAGTAATGCTTGAAAGAAAAAAGTATTCTGGGGTAAAGATTTTGGCAGGGCCTCCCCTTCATTCGCAACGGATTCTTGGCTTCACACACACAAACAACAGTCCTCATTCCAAACAGACATAGGCACACACACAAAAATACATGGGAACCCTTACAAACAATCTGTAAACTAAACAAGTGTACACACACAGGATGCTTTCTTTAGGCCGGTGTAGGGCATCCTCTGGGGACTGATTTAAATTGGCTGTCTGACGCAGTGTGTCCCTGCCTGACACCCAGAGTGGCCTGGGACTACTGGGTTTGTCAGGTGATATATGAGGAAAGCTGCTGGCATCCTCGCCACTCTGACATCATCATAAGGGTACCGGCGACAAAGAGAGAGAGAGAGAGAGAGAGTTGGAAGCACTACAGAATAAAACAGCTGAGGAGTCCCCATGTCTCCTCTGCCAGTTTATTTATGTGGCTCTCTGGCTTGGGGTTGCGAAAGAATCAGGCACCTGCTGGTCACCTCGTGATTGAACGCATCTCTGAACTAATTGGACACTGCAGGGGCATTTGGACACAGATGACATACAACACACACACACACACACACACACACACACACACACACACACACACACACACACACACACACACACACACACACACACACACACACACACTGACTGTCACACAGTGAATGTTAGAGTGAAGGATCAGTGTTAGACTCAAACTGTCCTGAATATTGCATGGAGTCAGGAGGAGGAGGAAAATCCCAATAGAGAGATGGAGAGGCTTCAGGCTTGTGGAAATCTCTTTTTTGCTGCCTGTCTGTTGTGTTGCTGTTGTGTTAGTAGCTGGTGATACTATGGAATTAGCCTCTTTTGTTTGAGGGGGTCCAACAGGGATTGAGACTGGCCACCAAAGAGGAATCTAATCAAACACTCTGAATACATAATCTTCACTAGGAGAAGGCTTGTCATGCTCCTTTGTCAAACCAAAAAGCTCCCTCGAAGGCAGAGACGCTTGAGGTGTTTGCTTTGCAAATATGAACCTGGGTGACGGAAATATGCAAAATAATGTTCAGAGAAATAGTTAAATCTGGCACTTTCAGACAGCTGCACAATTAATTTCTTGACATACATCAATGCCAGCTCTCCCTCATGCCACAATAAAATTATATTTTCATTATTTGTGACACAGCGTGACTTCACTGCAAAATACCGAACGTTGTGCTCCAACGCATTGCAAATAAAGGCCTTAAAGGAGGAGCAGAAAAGCAATAGTCAAAAAACAACTACTAAAAGTAGGACATTGCCTCAAAAGTACAATGCTACTGTAAATAGCTAAATAAACAGCACGCAGTGGCTCTCCATGTAGGTGACCCATAAACAAAGCCAGCAACTCTGCCTCGAGATAGAATAAAGGACAAAGAAACAGGAGCTGTTGGTGTGCCACTGGACTGAACACGGAACCTATGGCTGATGGGATTGGCTGGATTTATTATAAAGGGTGTCACAGAAGGATCACTATGTGCCCAAAGTGTAATACTGCATGAGTTGTGTGGCTGGTTTCAGTGTGTGAAGATACTCAATAAAACATAGTAGTGGTGTTTATCAAACTTAAAACCTCAAACCAACGCAGAAAAAAAACCTCCTAATTTTTTTATGATACAACTCTGTAGATTATAAGCTATTGTAAACATTAAGATTTAGATCTGGAGCTTCAAAAGAAGGGTAATGTACTGAATGCACTACAATCTATCACAGCAACAAAATAGGTTGTTGCCTGCAAAACAACTTATTGGCACTACATATTGCCCGCAACATTGTCCCCCCAAAAATACTATATGATTTTGTTCATTATTGCAGCTAACCATCCGGTTCTTTCCTACATTGGTAGCAGTCTGTACTGTATTGGACACACACTCCATTAGAACACATACATGTATAGACACACACGCACATATACTCAATGGGCCAAACCGAAACAGTGGTCTCGCTTCATACCCTGCAAACCCTGCCTAGGGGGCTTCATTAACTCTGACCTGCGCTACCCAGCCTTCCCAACTGCCTTCCTGTTTACGAGCTCACCCTTCCTTTCCTTTCCTTTGCCTCCCCCCATCTCCTGCTAACTGTGAAGGGTGATTGTAGCAGTGGGAAGCCGGAGCAGCTGAGCCCTAGGAGTCTACTGTACAAAAGGCTATTATGACCACCATATGAATGAGGTATTAGGCAATAGGCATTAAGCCTAAATCTTGAGATTAGGCATTGTTCTAGTCTGGCTCAGGTTAGCAGGAGTAAGAGCCATCTGGGATTATGTGAGATCAATAGATTAATTTCTGTTTCGGTGCGGATGGAAATCTTGCAGTTATGATCACCCCAGTGAAGTCACTATAGGCAGCGCAGGCAAAACACTTCCTTACCCTACAAACTAGCCAGATGGCGAATGAAACTTACCTTATCAGGGATTAAAACCCAGGCTGTAGCTATCACACTCTAGCTTGCCAATTACTGCCACACAAACAGGGAAATGCTGCTATAATAATTGACTATTTATCACCGTAATCCCTTTCCCAGGCACAGGTCAGCTGTTACTTGTCAATATGAAACAGCAGTATACAATGATTAAAGTGCCAGTACTTTTCTGAAAATGACAGCAAATATCCCCCATTAGTGTCTTCCAGCAATGTCTGATCGACTGGTATCGCAATTCAAAGTGAGCGCTGACAGCTTTAGGCTAATTTTAGTCTCCTCATTTTGGTTGTCTTTCGCAATCCATGGTGTTTCTAGGCTTGATGTGACAGCGTCATGGTGATAGTTAATGTACATCTTTGATGATCCAAACACCCGCTGCCAATGGTTGGCAGCTGTTAAAGTTTTTGTTGTTTGAGTTTTTTTTTTCAAATCTTATGCTACGAGGATCTGAAGGCTCTGCTGCCCCAAGCCTTTGCCCAGTCCTCAGTGATGGCCTGCTCACAGGATTGACTGCTGAGAACATGCTGCTGTAATTGAATCCCACACCTGTTACTGGCAGGTGCCGCACGCATGCAACAGGGGGCAGAATGGAGCATGTCATGGTACCCCGCGTCCATTCTGGACAGTTAATGGGCTTAAAGGGTTAGTATGTCTGCAGTGTGTTCTAATGGTATGTTTATGTGCATTCATCAGCCCATTAATGTGTGTAGCTGTGTGTGTATCTGTGTGTATGTGTTTGTGTGTGTAGGTATCCATGTGTGCAGTTCAGAAAGACATAGAGGCAGGGAGAGAGGAGAAGTCGTGAAATAGGATGTGAGTGTGTTCTGTGTGTGCAAACAAGAAGAGAGAAAGGAGTGGAGTAACAGAGTAAATAGGTTATTTCCTGTGAAATGAGAATTAGGAGTGAGTTAATCTGCTGAGGAGTGACATTTAAAGTGACAGAGAGAAGAGAGGAATGAGGAATAAGGACAGAGACAGTAGGGACTCCCATTGAGTTTCTGCTTCCTTTTAGACTACAAGGGGGGTCAAGTCGTAGGAGTAAATACACAATACAAAACACACAACCATGCACATACATTTACACACAGACATACAACCTTAGGACACACACACAGACTCTCAGACAGTGCACACACATACACTGTCCTGACAGTGGAAGAGGCAGGTGCCAAACTTGCACCCTTATCAACCCAGAAATTCACCCCAGAGAATACCCTTCACTGAGACCAAAAGCTTGCAACAGCTAGAGATGGCGTCCATTGAAAGCAAAGTCTTATCTGCTTAGGAGTGGAGCTGACACTGAGTGACAGGAAAGTTGGTCAGGACATGGCTGCAAAGGCTATAGGCTGCAGATACAGTAGACTATACTGACTGAGGGTTGAGATATGGGGAAACGTTACATCGCTGCAACATTAGCCTAGCCTAGCCTACCACAGCCCTGACTGTTCCTACTCTGTATCAGGCGTCCCAGATGTGCTGTCTCTCCATAAAGGTCCTGTGATTTATATTCATGGCCAGTAGCCTCACACACTCACCTGTTTCTTTTGCTCCAACAATGCAATGGGTTCTGCATGTTCAGTCAATACCCATCTCCCCTTGCCACTGAATAGTGTCTGCACTGCCTTGGTCACATGACAGTGCTCACGTCTGGTGGGTCATTCCTAATGAGGCAATGCTGCCTGACTCATCGTCTCTATAGCGACCGCACTCCCTCTCTTCCTCTCTTCCTCAATGCACAGCCATTCTTTGTGTTTTCCTGTCACACGATGCAGTGGTTTCTCACTCATTCCCTCGAACTTTTATGAATCACAGGTTGGGAGCTGTTTGTGTGAGCGATGGCTTCGTCCTTGTAGAGTCTGCCTCCCGTCCATCTACCCACGCTTTATAGAAATACCAGGATAGGATTGTTCGCAGGGGTTGCACTGCATCCTTCCCTTGCCTCTTCTCATTGAGAAGCAAACATTCTTAATGTGTGAAATATATGGAGGACACTAGTGTGATCCTGTCAGCAGTGATAAAAGGAATACTGTAAAGATGTGGAATGTACTCTGCTAGACTGTCAGCAAAGGGGGAAAAAGGGACAGAGGGAGTGATGGGAAGAAGGAGACGCCAACATAGTCTTAAAATAGCCTAACGGTATGTTGGTTGACTGAGTGATGGACATTCATTGAACAGGATCTTCCACATGTGACACCACTGAGCGGTGCACATCAGCTGATCAATCAGTAAGGAATATTTTGATTGAAAACGCTCAAGTCGCACAAGTGAGTTCAGCAGCAGTGGAGTAATGGATTAAGGTAGGAAAGGGCAGGAATGCAGACAGAGGAAAGGGGTATTCATCTTAGTGTTAGTGGGAGGAAGAGTAGTAAAAAAATAACCAGTTGGGTGAGATGGTAGCAGGTGGAGGAGGAGGAGGAGGAGGCGGAGGAGGAGGAGGAGGATGGTTTTGTAGCTTGCTATTCAACGGCAAGCAAGAGACTTAGCTACGGTAAAATGTCTGCTTGCGGTGGGAGAAATATGTGAGACAATGATCCATGTTAATGAAAAGCCATGGACATGACGACGGACAAAGGGTCCATAAACCAGTTAATGGCAAACTCCATAGTAGTTAATTCCTCCAACATATGGATCCAGCCATGGAGCCAGACGGGGAAATGGCTGAGGCCGAGACAGATGTAAGGGGGTTCAGAGAGAGTAAGGGAGGGTGAGGGGGGGGGGCCCGAGAGAGGGAGTTAAGGCTCATTGGGACTCTGGCACTGATGGCCACTAGTCTCACCCTGACCTTGGGTATGGGTAAGGTCTGTCTCTCCTCTTCAAGAAGTGATTGAGGTGCCTGGCCATGCTGATTGTGGCTCTTTAGGAGTGCTTGTGACAAGGCCCTGCTGTATCAGAGAGGCCATTACAAGACGCTGAAGTACTCCCTACAGGGGATACACCTCCCTTCCCCATTCCCTCCCATTTCCCCCCCCCCCTCCGGAGCCTCACTGAACACATAAGGAACCAGGATTGACTGATGTGGATAGGTATGGGGAGAGGGGGCACAAGTTCACAGTGCATGTGCAATAAAGAGAACAGAGACTTGGCAGTGACAAACTGTAGAAAGAGAGGCAGAGAGGAAGAGGAGAGGAGGAGGAAGAGGAGTGTAAGAGATGCTCAAAAGAGCCTGCAGCTGCTTGTGATAACCAGATGTGATCTGAGAGATAAACCAATCAGAAGGAGGACCAGAGAAAGAGAGGATGAGAAACACAACAGAGGAGTTGTTGGAAGAATGAGTCATTTCAAAGAGACAGAATGAGGGAAAGACACTGAAGTACCTGGAAATGGGATAATGTAAAAATAATACTGAGAGCATCTTTGGTGATTTACTGTGTTATAACACAAAGTTTGCTTCAAGATTACAGCAACAACAAACTTCAAATCTGTCCTGAGAAAAACAAAAAAAGAGAGCATATAGTATGGAGAAAAGGAGCAGCTGAATAAAGTAATAAGAGAGAGGAATTTTTTTTTTTTAACTGGAGCGACAAATAAATCGCAATAGCCAATTGAGCTGGAATATATTTGAGAAATGTAATGACAAATGTGAATTGTCAGGTGTATGTGATGCAACAGTGTGACATACTTTTTGAAGGGGATGCAAAATGAGGAGATTTGCCATTCATGAGGTGATATGAATATATGTTTTCTGTAAGTCAAAGCTACTTTGCACAAGAAAGGAATGAAGTTAGTTCTCGTTTATCTCTCTTAGATACTACTGGACTGTGCGTGTGTGTGTGTGTGTGTGTGTGTGTGTGTGTGTGTGTGTGTGTGTGTGTGTGTGTGTGTGTGTGTGTGTGTGTGTGTGTGTGTGTGTGTGTGTGTGAGTGCGTGCGTGCAGGTCAGGCTGGTGTCATCAGAACCAAGGAGGAAATCTAAAAGGATTTTAGAATTTTGGTTATAGTTCAAAGAGAGATAGAAAGAAAAGGGCAGAGGAGGCGATTAGAGATTGAGAAAGAAAAAGGGAGGGAGATCAACATCAAACATGACCACTACTACACAAGGTGCTGGGTTAGGAGGGTATATGGGGGGAGGAAGGGACACAAGGGAGGAGGAGAAGGGAGGAAGGGGCGAGCTGTGGTTGTTATGTTCATTGTGGTTTTTACCTTTTTGATCCACTTCTATTCAAGCATCGGAAAAAGGAGAAAGAAAGAGAAAAGAGAAAGACAGTACGGAAGAGAGAGAGAGAGAGAGAGAGAGAGAGAGAGAGAGAGAGAGAGAGAGAGAGAGAGGGAGAGTGAAGAGAACGAAAGAAAAACAGGTGCAGGAAAAAAGAGAAAATTGAGATTAAATAAAAAGCTGTCCTTTCTCTCTCTCTCTCTTTTCTTAAAGCAAGTTATCTGTCTGTGTTATGGTTGGCTACTCAGAGAAAGGATGGCTCAAATGGAAAATGAGGAGGGGAAAATGGCCTGACTTGGGTTTAAATCCATTTCCATTTCATTTCGGCTTTATCAATAATCCCCCAACAACACAATCCTCCCCCAACCACGTACTCTCGACCCCACCTCAACCCCTCTTATTGCCACATTCCTCCTTCTTTCCCTCACGCCCAAACATGCGGCTCCGGGGAACCTGTTGGGGAGAAACTGAGGGAGAGCCTCTTTGTGCTGTAGTCCTCTTCAGCTGTGGGAGTAAACAAAGATTGAGAAAGCGATGAGGGGATGGCAGATGGAAAGGTGGAGACGAGGATGACTCTATCTGTAGTTAGTTGTCTACGGGAGCGATTGTTGATATTGTCTCTCTCATAGTACAGTCTGTGTTGACATTAGGAGTGGCCCCTTGATCTAAAGAAAGCGGTGCTTTTGGCTTTGCTCAATTTACAGAGTCAGGATGCTCGCTATAGAAGCCAGCGTAAACACTCAACCCATCGACCGTCCAATCAATGGGGAGCTGCTGGCTTGCCTGGCCGAGCCTGGCTCATCAAAGAAAAAGAGAACAAACAACAGGGGAAAGGGAGGGCTTGACAGAGTGGAACGCCTCAGAAACACAGAAAGAAACCAAGAGACATGGTTTGGGGGGGGGGGAGGGGAGGGGAGAAAAAAATAAACGGGTAAAGACAAAAGAGAGATGAGAGAAATGTCTGCAGTGGGCTCATCACACACAAATCAATAGGTTGGTGTGTTGTTGAGTCACACCAAGGCCTCAGCTGACTCCAGCAGGTAAGCTCCCTCCACATCCATGAAGCTGTTTTGCACCTGCTCGTGTCGCCATGACTGGGGAGGTCTGTGAGCAGCTGGAGACCCCAGGAGAAGATAGCAAGGATCTCAGCTCCGCCTTCGTCATTACAGCGCTGCCACACGCCTTGCTGAGGCAGAAGCGCATCGCCATGTCTCTCGGGGACCTCACACGTCAAATGGCACATGGCTGGTGGATCCCTGCTGCGGGCGAGATTGTCATGTGTGTGTCACGCAAGTCTGATGTCCCCGGGGAGCCCGGTGAAATTGTCACGACAGCTTACGGTGTTACCCATTAATAAAGAAAAAAAGGGGAGAGGGAGGGAGAGAGAGAGGGAGGGAGAGAGAGATGTAAGGAGGAAGAGCGAGCAAAATAAAAAGGGGGGAGTTAGCGGCAGTAGCTTGATCTGTGCGGGGGGTGGCCTTGCATCTTGGCAGCGATACAGCACAGGCAGCATCAGGATCAGCAGCAACACTGATCATTTATCATCTAATGCCAAGATCAAAATGGACAAACAACCTCTATGAAGACCGGGGGAATGATAGCCTAGAGTAGTAAACATGGCAAAGCTATGACTGCGAGTCCTGTGAAGCTGGGGCAGGGGCCAAGAAAGCATTACATCCCCGCCACCAACTGCGTGTGCAATCATTAACTCCAAGGTTAGGGTAGGGGGAGACGGACCAGGGAGCATCAGACCTTTCATCGGAACTGAAACAACTACGGGGGGCAGGGGTGCATGACGATACCAAAATTCAGCAGAGCTCGAACATATGGACTTATTTTGACATTTACTGTCAGCAGAGCTTGCCCGCTTCACGTGAGTGTATCCTCTAAAGATGTTATTTGAAATGTAATAAATTGACTTTTGTGTATTCATTCCTAAAAAGGAGGAAAATTATGGGTGTGATGCACAGCAGTGACATGTAGAGAGATAGAGAGAAAAAAAAGAAAACGTCTTCAATGCTGCGGAGAGGGAGAAGAACAATAGGGTCGGTTGAAGACGGTTGACTTCCTTTCTTCTGCTCTTGGTTGTCCTGAAAAATAGACACCAATTACAGACACACACAGATCATCTAAAAACACACGCGCATAAACACAGAGAAAAGAGACACAAATTCAAAGATTGTCGTCACAGTGAGCAGGAGGTTAGTTTAAGGCCACCTTGGCTGTTTGTCTGATTCATTCAGCATTTCTGTTTCACGGCCCTTTTGAGAAATAAGCCGCTGCCCTCCCTCCCCTTAATCACTCTGCTCAGCGCTCTCTACAACCCTATCAATTACTCCCACACTAATGAGTACAGCTAGTCAAACACACACATGTGCACACACACACACACACACACACACACACACACACACACACACACACACACACACACACACACACACACACACACCACACACACACACACACACACACACTAGACTGCAGGACTACCGTGCCTTCCTTTCTCTTTTAAGCAGCCTAGATGTGTGTGTGTCCCTCTGTATCCTTCCTTCCCTCTTGTTCCGTCTCTCAATTTACATTTTTCACGGTAAAAAGTCATCCCTTTCCAAGGCCTGAGCAAATTCGGCTGCTTCTCATTCACCAAACATTTATGAGCCCCGCGTCTAATGGTGCCCCTAAACATATTAATATAATTTCATTTTCAGCTACATCAAAGTCTTTCCTTTTCTTCCCCTTGAAAACTTGACATATTACAATGCCATTATTCCTTCTACTGACAAACTCTCGCAACAAGTCAACTATCATTTCCAGCGGCTTAGTGTCCAAGACGCCAAGAAAGGCAATGCTGAATACAATTATGGGGAGGAATACATTTGATAAAGTAAAACAGTGGCGGGGCCACAAGATATGAATGTAAAAGTGGAGAATTTGATGTTACCTAAGAAGCTCTGCAGAATCTCTTCTGTACAGCCCGAGTAGGCCATTTTAACCCTTTAACTAGCAGCACCACTATTTGGTTGAGCACATTTTGTGTCTTGATATTTTGTTGAAAAATAAATAAAAAGGTTTAACTCCATCTGATTCAGCCAGCTCTACCATTTGGTTGACATGATATGCACAAAACAACCTCTAGATGTCACTGTGGTTCAAACAGAATGCCCTTTAGCTAGCTTCCCCTGAGAAAGTTGGCTTGCTAAAAATCACTGCCGAAGAAATCACTCTTTTTGGTCAACTTTTTTTGTACCACTTTATTAATCATTAAGAACCATTTATAAACCAGTTCTAAAATAGTTTTCATACATCAACACAGGCTCACTATTTGGCAAGATGACTAAGCCTTATATTGGCACTAGCTTACTTTGTCTTCTTCATCAGCCAGCTTGGTGTCTGTTGTTCACTGAGTTGATTCTCCCCCTTCCATCTTGATGTTTCTTGGCATCTCTTTATGACCATTTATTTACGAGTTACTAACATTTATAGTTGCCAAAAGAGAGCCTTATTGTAAAGTGTAAAACACATTCCCATTTATTAATGAGTTACTACCATTTCTAATAAGGCTTAGCAGTACAGATAAATGTCGGCTCACTATTTGGCAAGCAACCGGTCACAGTTGCCCTGTTTATCTCATGTCTTATAAAGCTTATTAATGATTTATAAAGTGTTCACAACCTAATTAATGAATAAATTACAAACTATTCGTAAACCCTTTATACTGTAAGGGTAGTCTTATTGTAAAGTGGTACTAACTTTGGTAAGGTAACCATATCATTGTTGACATATTTTAGTGTCAGAGCACTGACTGAACATAATTAGATAACTTGATGCACAAAAAAAGTTTTAACAAGGGTGTAATTATTTTTTTGAAAATATGCTCAACCAACCGGTCGATTTGGCCTTTTATGGTAAACTAGCAATATGACTTTTTCAGAGTTTCAGAGATGTTTTCCAATAAAATATGGTAAATAAACAGCTAGATTCATGGTAATATTACTAAATCTAGTACTGCCTTATGAGTCTCAGAGTGAAAGAGTGATAATAATTTATATAGCAGCTTTCATGCATGGCATTCAGCCCAAAGTTGCACACAGATGAGCAAGTTAGGCCAACACAGGATATAGACATTTGCTGTTAGGCCAGTGGTTTCTTGCAAGGCCAATTCAGCATATACAGTAAGACGAGCAAGTCTTTTTTTTATTATGAAAAACACTTAACTTACTTTTTTCCATTTTCTTTTTTTTACAATTATTATTTATTATCTTTTATGAATATATCTGGTTGTATATATTGCTCATTTTCAATAAAATATTTTTTTTTATTTGAGTTTGTGTTTTATTTGAGTTTGATGCATACAAATACTGTACTGTATATGATGATTGTTGAAAATGCACTTTTACCATAAAAGGCCAGCTCGACGATTTGGTAGAGGCTCATAAAAACAAAACTGTGTGGTCAGTCAAAAAAATAAAAATAGTTTGTGGTTATTTGTGGCCCATTTGATAAAAAAAATGCAAACAAATAATTTTTCCATAGGGTTTTTCTTGGTCTGGTAGTTAAAGGGTAGGCAGTTCTTCTGCTTACAGCACTGTGCATATCAACAAGATAAATCACAGCTGATGAAGTAGCAGAGCACAACACCAGGTCTAATGGCTCTGGCATGGCCAGCATGGATGGCCCGAATGAAGAGCATTAGGAGTCAATAATGATGTACTACTGTGTCCTGGGGAAGGAGGGGGGGGCAGGTAGAGTTCTCTCACAGGGCAGATTTACTCTGACTCAGTGTACATCTGGGCTAAAACTGCAGTGTAGGGTTTCCACTGCAGTAAATACATGCTGCAGCTGTGTGCATGGATTTGTTATGCCTTAATGGAACCCAGCCGTCTACAGCAGGCTGTGACAGTGCAAAATGAGGGTTCTGTTGAGCTGTTTTGTCTTGCTCTGTTATGGCTGGCAAAAACAATGCTACGTGGCAGGGAGGCCTCGCAGGGCTTTTTGGCTCGATGAGATATGATTTGACTTGTTGGCGGATTTGTATTTCTTTTTTAAAGTGATCCCACGCGCAGCAACAAACACACACGTTCCGGACCCCTGCTTGAGCTCAGCTGACAAAAGCCTGTGTGTGTCACTTTTGCTCTGGCTGTCACCTCGCTGTCTCAGGTGACTGGAAACATGATGCCTGTGTAACATGCACATAGAGGCCCCTGTCAGACGCTAGCCATCAATGTGGCTACACACAATCTCAACTGCTTTGACACACAACCTTAACATATCATCTCTCTGTTGTTAACCTTTTTGTAGGGACAGGCGATGAAAAACATGAGTCAGCCTTGGGTGATGCCCAGCATTCCCAGCCAGACGTGAACGATGGGGCATTACCAGAGCGATTAGAAGCAGCAAATTCAATTAATCTTGACAAATCTCTGCTGAGGCAGGACTGAAGAGAGCGGCGCGCCCCCTCTCCTGGTAATTAAAATTGGCCTAGTTGAGTGACGTGTGGTGCGATGGTGACTAGGTTTTGGGATGAACAGTTTCAGCTTTCAGTCTGAATGTGTCAGGTCGTATTTACTTCAGATCAGAACAAAAACAAAGACGGCCCGCAGTATAAGTTGTCTGCATACGCTCATGTGTAGCAGCGTGGACGTGTTCTCTAGCCGAGAAGAGTGGCAGAGGACAGCGATAATTAGCTCTTCTTTGTCACCTCAGACAGGCAGGACTTTTCATCAGAGAGGGATCAACTTCCAATTTTCTAAGCCGTGACGTACTTTACACACAATCAACAAACTTTTTTCCAAACACAGGGAGGAAAAATGCAAGTCAGCAGCTATTTAATCATCCCTTTGATTGCTTTGCAGAGAGAAAGTAAGCTCCCTTGTGCAGTCAGAGGAAACCAAGGTTAGAATACATGAGGAAGGCAGGTACAACTTAGAAATGCTACCTCGACCCTCTATGAACCATAATACGGGACCAGGCTACAGCATAGAACTTCTAGAGAATAACTAACAAAGTCACGCACCTTGAGAGGGGCCGTCTGACAGCAGCTAACATCAAATGACAGACGGACTGTGCAGAAGGTAGAGGAGACTCGAGAAAAAGACGTGTTGCCACTTTTAAGGCATTGAAGAAAAAAGACACCATAGAGAAACTCTAAACTTCTGCTTATCTGTGACTGTGGCTGCAAACTGACTCAACAAAGTCTCTCAAAAGCTAATCCAAGGGCAAAAATCACAGAGCAGAGGTAGGGCGAAAAACTGAAAAAGGTGCATGGAAGTCCCTGAGTTTCTCCGAACCTCTCCATCTGGGCTGGAGAGTTGGATACTTGAATATGTGTCCAACCTGTAAAAGAAAAAAACGACAGAGACAGCAGCAGAGACTGAAGAGAGTGGTAAGATACTGAGGCAGAGTGATGGACAGAGAGTACAAATAGAAGAATAAGAGAAATGCTGCGGTGGAAGAAGATTAAAGACATCCGACTATAGATGAGATGTGAAAGAGAGCAGAGTACAGAAAGAGAGACATGAATAAAGGTGACGCTGACTTTGAGAGATAATAAGCAAGAGGAAGACGAGAGAAGAGATGAGAAGGAAGAAGAAGAGAGCATAGGAGGTTAGAATCTTGGCGCTGACTTAGATCCATGGCTCGCCTCAACAGAGCCTGAGGAAAAAGCAGAGAAAAACACCCAGTTTCTCCCACCCCCCCCTCATGCAATCAGCCCCAGAGGATCTATGTATCCCACCCCCCATTATCACCTCTTCCTGGACCCCAATTCTGCTTGTGTCTGGTAGAGGTGAGCGCCACTGCCCCTCCCCTCCAGACAAGAGTTCCTGCACAGTGAGGGGATCAATGCTGAGAGTAATAATTCATGAGAGGGAGGAGGGGAGGCTGAGCGGAGATTTTCACATGTATAAGGATCGACACAACAAGATATAATCCTTTCTGTGTCTGCTCCTCTGGCTGTGTGAGTGACTGTGCTCAGGTCCGCGTGTGCATGCTTGCTCAGGGGGAGAAAGAACGAGAGCAACTGTGTGTCCCCCTTTTGCTAGTATGAGGTACACTTGAGTGTGTATGCAGACGTGTGTGTGTAGCTCACACCTGCCATGGAGCTCTGAGCAGTGCCGTGAGGAAGTCAGCCGTTACCATGGGGACATTGAAATGTGTGCCGCTCCAGGTCATGTGGTCTAAAATAAGCCTTTTGCTGTTTGTGTTAACATTCCTATGTTCAGGTGCAACACACACACACACACACACACACACACACACACACACACACACACACACACACACACACACACACACACACACACACACACACACACACACACACACACACTGCGCCCCCTGCCTGCTTGTCTCACTGCACCCAATTTTAATTTGTATTGGAAATCAGAGGGACAGCCAAGGTGTTTGTCACCTGATAAAGGCAGCGGCATGCCCCTGGGTCAATCAGTGTCTGAGTGCAGGGGCGGTGTGTGTTACACTGCTGTGATCGCCAATAAGGGCTGACCCAATGTTTGCAGTGGGTGTGTGTGAAGTGCTTATCGGACCCTGTGCTTCCTTCCCCCATGTGAAAATCCCTCTCAGCCACTGTTGCGTTGTTCTGTCGATGAAGAAAAAGGGTTTAGAGGCCTGTGTGTGTTTGTGTGTGTGTGGATGCATGTGTGTGTTGGTGCATTGTAAGTGTATGAGACAGAAAGAAAAGAGAGAGAGAGAGAGAGAGAGAGAGAGAGAGAGAGAGAGAGAGAAAGCAGGTGAGGATGACTGTGTGTGTGTGGTTTTGTTTGTGTTGAAAAAAGCCATAGGGAGCAGGTGAGCACGTGTCAGAGTGAGAATGTCATTTTTGTCGAGGGCTTTTGGGGGTTGATAAGGGAGTAGGAGGTTCAGGGGGGGGGGGGTAAAGAGAGGGAAGGGAGGGGACGATGAATGGGGTGAGGGAGTTGGGAAGGTGGGAGGGAGTGAAAGGATCTCAGTACTCACTGTAGGGGACACACTCGTACTGGATCTCCAGGTACTTGTAGGTCCCTGGACAGGGGTCTGGGAACACGTCGGACCCCGCTACAACCACACACTGGGTGCGGTTATTACACCTGCGAGACAGGCGGGGGGGAGTGAGAAAAAGAGAGAAAATAGAGGAAGTAAGTGATAGAAAAATGACGAGTGCGAGTAAGAAAGACAAAGAGACATCTTCAGGCTCTGAAAGATGGAAGGAACGGTTGGGAAGGGAGTAATTTCACACTAGACTAGATCATGTGACAGCTGCACCCGAGGGGAGGTGGGAAACAGAGAGGCAGGAAGAGATGGGAGAACGGAGTGGGGTGAAGGGTAGAGAGAAGGAAGGAGGGAGGGAGGGGGAGAGGCAGAGAGAGGGCGAGTGACGTAAGAGGCTACTCTCTTGGGGGATTGTGAGTGGGAGCAATTAGAGGTGAGAGAACAGGGGAGGACGAGAGGGGCTAAGGCAAATACTCTACACTATACACACAAGGAAAACATTCATTTCGCACATTATACCTCAATCTAAACCGCTCGCTGCATGCCGTCTCACGTCTGCACACCAGGAAACACACACACCAAAGATATATGTCCACACACACATGCACTCACTCATTCTCAACACATCATCTCTATCCAGCTCTTAGCATTTCTCCACTGTGCTGTTTCTCACTCCTTAACTCACTCATCCTATCCGTTCTAGCAGTGTCTCTTTCCTTTACCCCCTCAATTCTCTCCCTCACCCCCTGCCATTTCCCTCCCTCCTTAGCTCTCTCCCAAAGCTAGCACCCTGTGCCTCCATTACGTGCGTGATGGATAGCTGGGAGAGGGCTTCTATTGATCTGAGCTCGGAGGAAGCAGGCGCTCAGCGCAAACACAGAGCAGCTGTAGGAAGCCCTACAAAACACTCAAAAACCCCAAACCTCCGCATTCACATACTCGCACTCACGTACACGAAATGAACACACACATATACACCACCATATACATGCACAGACACAGTGGTGTTCCACACAGAACTTCAGTATTTCACCAAGGTATCAACACCACAGGAGGAAAAGCAGGACATTCTGTTGTGAGAAAGGATCTTGTTTACCTGGCCAACAACAGGCTCTGGCTCACACTGAAAATCCCAACAGATCAATAGTTACCTTTGTGACATTATCTTGAAGGCGTCGGGCAGGTAGCACTGCACATTCTCCATCTGAAAGGGGTCTGCGTCACAGATCTTGTCATCAGTGCGGCCGTAGTTGGCCGTTTCGATCATGATGACATCGCTTCCAGGGCAGCGCAGCTCGATCGGGTAGCCTTCACACGCCAGCTCTCGACGCATCAAGCCGAAGGGCATCATTGACCGGCTCAGGGCTGGAATGGAAAGAGGGAGAGAGGCAAAGTTATTGATAATTCAATGAACCGTAATACTTTTAGGAGGCACTTTATTATTCGACCACATTGTAAATATGATGTGTAGTGACAAACGCAGGCGGAATGAAAGTGGTTCCTATTGTCCTTATGTAAAGCTCAAATAAACTATTAATGACTCGCCTTCACAGATCAGTAATGTTTCAGATCCGTTGATGCCTGGCAGTGCAGTTTTCACTTTGGAACATCACAGATCAAAATTATTGGCATGATGAATTGCAGCCATTACCAGTTTCTTCAATAAGATATTGCGGCACTTGTGAAGTAAACTGTGAGAGTTTCAAATGTTAACAAACTCCTACACACAGCCAGGCATCAGCTTCTCATACTCATCCCCTCACCAGAGAAGAACTGAGTGTCCTTCCAAGCATCCTTTAGTGTTTTCCACCCCAACGAGGTGTCAGAGCAGCACCTTAAGATTCTCTCTGAATAACAGAGGAAGTCGTGGTAGAACGAGCAAAGAAAAGAGAACTAGTGGCTTTGTACACCTTCACCCCTGGTGTGTACACCATTTGCACACCCACTGCTGTTAATAAGCCGTCTGAGAGGAAAGTCAATGCACTGCCGGGGCCAGAAGCGGGGCTCTGTGTGGGGAAGGGTCAGCAGGGACAGCGTGGTACTCGGGGTTAATCGCTGAGCCAGGCTGAGAGGCATGGAAGAGGGCTGCGAAGAGGCGCTGAGAGAGACACTTGTTGTCTTTCAAGCTCTCTCCATAACTGCATACCTATCCAACTTCTCCTCTATATTCAGTCTCACGCAAAAAATAAAATCAATACAAAATGGCAGCAGACTTTCTCTACAGCACAGGTGGAAGCAGGGACAAAGGAACAGAATTTAGGTGGAGACAGAGTGAGTGATCTGGCAGTGAGGGTGTCCGTGGTGTTGAAGGACAGCCAGTGTGTGTCCGTGCTGAGACTTATGCCAGTGGCTGCTGTCCATGGTCCTGAACTACAAAACTTATTCTGGGAAAATAACAAGTGTTGGAGCTTGGTAGGTGTGGAGCTGTCTGCTGTCCTGTAGAAGGGTGGGGTTTTGACTGAGCTCTCCTCTTCATTGTCAGTGTAGAGGCCATGACATGTATTAGGCTGGTGGGCATTCTGTCAAATCTAAACAGAGTAGTTCACTTAATCACACTGTAATTTAGCAGGTCTTTATAAACTGAGGCTTTCTCGCACAGTGCCAGACGGGCTCAGCAGCAGACTAAGGGCACTGATTCAGCCCCTCTCTCCCACCTCTGTTAGTGCTGAAACCCACAGAGCGGGGCTGTTTTCCCTCCCTGACACTGAGCTAGCACTGCTTAGGTTTCAGCCGCTGTCCATTCAGGAGGAGTGCCCATCTGAGTCAATGTCAATGTCAGTCATCCCCGACATGCTCTGCAGTGGTGCGCTACATGATTCACTGCAATCAGACTTGCTCATATTTCCAAATGCCACCAATTTATGCAGCAGGGACTTGAGTTCAGTTGTGTAACTAACGCCATTAAGGCTGAATGACTAGTACAGACAGACTTCAAATCTTTTATGCCTTGCCAACATGCAGTGTCAGTGCCAAATCACAAAGGCCTTGATGCAAAAGCGCATACTAATTAAAGCACTTGGAGATGCAAACAGCAGGCGAGGCCGGACAAGTTACTCCACACACAAATACAAAAACCCACAAGAGCAAATTAGCTGATACACGGACATGCTGGGCAGGCGAGTGTGTGCGTTCATACTTGCGTTGCATACATACACGCATACACTCGCAGTGTCTTGTAGTCACAGTGGCAGTGCATAGTGTCAGTGTGTGGCCTTGTTCTTTTAACTACCCTGTGGTGTAAGTACACAGCAGCGTACAGCTGGCCAGCTATTAGAGCCACACAGTGAGCCAAGAGGAGTGTAAAACTGAAGGGGGCCACCAGGAGTGATCAAGCTCAGTCCACTTAGCCCCCATCAGAGGGGGCAGACCACAAGTTAAACATACTTTACATACCAAACATACCTTGTATAATAACTAATCCCAAATATTCATGGCCTTGTAATGCTGTTCCCCCTGCACGCTAATGGAAATAGCTACAGTGGAAGGGTTCATCTCTTTGAAAACAGCCAAAGGGGGCAGTTAAATTAATGTATGAGCTGTTAGTTTCATTAGGAGTCTGTTTCAACGGCAAAAATTATTTCTGCATTGTTTTTGAGCGATAATTTGCTGTTTCATTTGTGGTGGTTATGCTGATCGGCTTGTCTTTGTACAGATAATTTCTGCTTGTTACCATGACTGTCATGTCTGGTATTTAGCAAGGAGATCACTGACTAGATGTTGACACGCCAAGAGTTTATTTAGTCAAGCTGAACTTGATCTTATAAAGACAGATATGTTTTGGAGTAAAGGCTCAAAGTAAATATAATTAGTGTTTTGAATCAAAATGATGCAATTTCACAAGTCAAATTTAGAGAGATTGTGATGTATGAACCTTAATCCATTATGTTTTTCAGGTTATTGTTATTCTGGCCCACTGTTAGAGTTTAGCCATAATTGAACACAGCCATTATTGAGCCAGTACACTTCAATAGTGACAGCGACCATGATAACTAGCCTATTTCTGGCAGCACTGCAACTCCCAACTTTCATCGTATTTCACCCCAACATATTTCAATGTTTGACAAGTTCCAGGTTTAAGGTAAATACAGCAGTTTATATACCGATAAATGGCAAGATTTTTGAATGATGCATTCACAAACAAGTGTGGAACTTAATTTCAGGGCGTGTGTGTGTGTGTGTGTGTGTGTGTGTGTGTGTGTGTGTGTGTGTGTGTGTGTGTGTGTGTGTGTGTGTGTGTGTGTGTGTGTGTGTGTGTGTGTGTGTGTGTGTGTGTGTGTGTGTGTGTGTGTCTACTACTATATAGTAGTATGTAGTATAGTAGTAGTTAGTT